GTGTTTACGGATTGAGCTTCTAGAAGAGGGGGTGTTTACGGTCTTGGATCAAAAGAATAAGGGGTTTACGGATTTGCCAAACCGTAAACACCTTTTTGAAATTAAAACTTTCAACCGTGAACACCATACACTTGTTTGATTTGGCCGTGAACTCCTCTTTGAATTGATTTCAAATACGTAAACTACTTTTCCCCTTAATTAATTTGGGTGAAAACTCATTTAATGAGGGCTATTTATGTTTTAAACCCCTAAACTTTTAACTTATGCTCATTTATAACACTCCAATTTAGCTTAAGTTTTCAATCCATACCTCTTTGTTAATTCTTTAAACAAGCTCTACGGCTATAGATGATAAAATGCAATAAGAATTGCAATGCAGTTTCACTTGTACTTGGTTAGGGTTTAGGCTTTACTTGATCTAAAAATTTCGAGTTGTGACATGCTTGTACACCCAACGTACTTCTCCCATATGGCCAACTTCCATTTTCCAGCTTTTAATCGATTAAGACTTCCATCTAAACTCAAATCTAACTTCCTTAAGATGGCTTATCACGTAAAGTTGTCAACTTTACGTGCATGCATGGCTTAATGAGGCTCTAGAGCTTAAAAGAGCTTAATAAATGACTTAATACATGTATGAGACCATAAACACCATAAAGTTTGCACCTTTAAGCATACGGAACCCTCCAAACATCCATATCTACAAGATGTAGCTTCTAAAACGGCCTTAACCCATCAAGACTAACCAAAAATGGACAAAGAAGCATAAAACCATAACATGAAGAGATCTAAGCAAGGAGAGGAAAAGGTATGAACTTTATACCTCAAAAGACTTGCAAAATGAGTGATGATTCTGGATCTCTAAGCTTCACACTAAGCAATGCACCTTCAACCTTCTTCTATCCCTTCAGAATGAGCAAAATAAGCACCAACTTCTTCTCAAGAGCTCAAAGACACAAAAATAGAGGCTAACGGTCGAAATTTAGGGTTTAGGAGGTTTGGAGGCTGGTAAAGATGTAACATCCAAAAATTTTACGCCAAATTTAAACTTTTTCGATCATAAATAAAACCAATAGTATTTGTTTACAAAATGTTTTCAATCAATATTCATCAGAGTGTCCCAATAACCAGTTCATAAGGATGAGGAGCGGTACGGTTACGCCTTCGCCTTGCCATGATCTCCTGAAGTACCTGAACCAATAAACTTAAAACTTAAGCCCGAGGGCTTAGTGAGCTACCCCCAAAATACCAATACCCCACTGATAATACCATATCAGTAATAGACAATCAACAACATGCATACTGGGCCATCGGCCTGACTGGACCGCCCTGCAGGGCCTACAGTCTATCTGAATCTGAATCTGTCCCGAGCCTTCGGCATAACTGGACCGCCACGTGGGCCTACAGTCTCCCCGGACCGCTCATAGGGTATGTTGGCCTTCAGCACAAAGCAGGACCGCCTCAACCCAAGCAATAAACAAATAACCATGTGCGCATAACTAACATATACTGGCATATACAAACATCAAACATATCTATCTCACGGATCACTAAACATAGCAATCTCTCATAACTAGAGCACTGACCTAGCAGGTCACTAACATATCAATCCCTACGGATCATAATAGCATAACATACTGTCTATCCTGATTCCGATCTAACAGATCATATCCACATGTAGCATACCATAACGATAACAGCTAAAGGGTCGGCCTTGGTGCCTTAGACCCTATCAATATAGTGAGGATAACTCACCTTGCAGATGTCGACTCGGTAGATAAACTTCAACCCTCGGATCACTGCCACAAACTCCACCACCTATTTCCATAGTATGAATATACCCATAAGTCCTCAACCTTACAAGGTACTCCATAAACCTACTAGTCAACCCTTGGTCAAAGTCAAAGTCATCAGTCAAGGTCAACAGTCCATGTTGACCTTGACTCGCCAAGTTCCATGAGGTACTAACCCACTCGCCGAGTCACCTGAGTGACCCGTCGAGTTCCTTCGGTTTACGATCGAGACCCTAAGGCCACTCGTCGAGCTTCCTTCTTACAACTTCGACGGTTACACGCGCATACATAAATTGGGGAAACCTCAACCGACTCGCCGAGTTGTTCATCCACTCGTCGAGTCTACGGAAATCTTCATCGGACTCGTTGAGTTGTTCTTCCAACTCGCCAAGTTCATGCCTATCTTCATATGACTCGCCGAGTCGACCATGCGACTTGCCGAGTCCCTTTAGTCCTTTTTTCCATACAGACTCATTTGAGCCATGCAGCGGCTCCAAACTACAGATCCAAGCTTCTAAGGCATGCTTTTCACGTAAAGTTGCAAACTTTACGTGCATGCATAGCTACAAAGGCCCTTAATGTCAAATCCAAGCTCACAATGGGGGTTTCATACTCAAAGGGGCTTCATACATGACCAAATTCGGAGCTTTATGACTCTAGAACCCAAGAAGGGTACAGATTTGAAGTTACAACTTCAGATCTAGCTCATATCCCACATTACCATCTCAACCAAACCATAAAAACTCTAGATCTCAACCAAAAGAGGTCTAGAAGGAAAAGAAGAAAAGGTGACGACTTGATACCTCCAAATGATGCTATCTGAGGTAGATTTCAGATTTCCCACACTTCCTTGCTCCTAGCCTTTTGTTCTCCAAGCTCTTCTTCTCAAAAGATCTCCTCTCCAAGGCTTTAGACACACAAGAATGAAGCACCACACGAATTAGGGTTTTCTGAGCTCTCAAAGGACTGCAAAGAGGCCAAAGGAGGCTTATGCTTCCTTAAATAGGGTGCACAACCCCGGGATTTAGGGTTTCATCTGCCAGCTCCTACTCGTCGAGTCCCTTCATGGACTCGGCGAGTAGGCCACTAAATACGCGAACCAACCCGCTGCTACTCGACGAGTAGGGCAACAACTCGTCGAGTAGGCTTTGAAACCAATTAAATTCCTATTTACACAATACCTGAGAATCGGGGCGTTACAAAAGAGGCCTGCCCTATGGACTTAAGGAGTTTATATAGGGTGCAACATCCTAAAATTAGGGTTTCATTAAACCCTCGTACGCCCAGCGTACGAGGCCTCGGCCCCGCGATCAAACCCACTTAGTACGCTAAGCGTACCATGTAGTACGCCTCGCGTACTAGCTAAGCTGACCCAATGGTACCCCCCGCGTACTAACCCCAAGGACCAAATTGCAAATAATAAAATACAAAGGGGCTAAAAAGGAACATACCCAAATCTAAGTGTTACATACAAATGGGCCCATCTATATATAATCATATATCATCCCCCCCCCCCAACACGTAGTTTAATCGTAGGAAAGAGTTTGAATATTTAGACTAGACTAAATTATGTGAATAGACATGATCGTTGACCTTTAGTTTGAATATTTAGACTACACTGAATTATATGAATAGAGTTGGAACATTTAGACTAGACTGAATTATGGGTATAGACATGATCGTTGACCTTTAGTGAACTATCGACATACTGAGAAGATAAGAGAACATGAAGAACCTACACCTCAATAGTAGTAACTTTTTCTCAGATAAAATGGAAATCGATCTCTATATGCTTCGCACGTTGATGTTAAACATGATTAGTTGACGAGAGTTACATGTTATTAACATTGTTGCAATATACAACAGTAGATTTAGAGATGGGAGAAAAAACTCTCGAATAAGATTTTGAAGGCAACAAGTCTCAGCAACGGCAATGACAACTACATGTTACTTTGCCTTGTCATTAGAACGAGAGATCATAGGTTGCTTATCGGGACATCCACAATGCATGCATTGAACTTTTCATGATTTAAATGGATTGTCACATCATCTATCTATTCATCATACAACTCTAAAAACTTCTCATACAATGCACTGAACTTTGTGACACATTTAAAAAAAATCATTTATCATAAAATTTTCATGTTTCTCATTAAAGAGTTTTATGACCATTAAATTTCATATCCAGTGAATGTCAACATAACATTCCACAATAATAGAGTTTAATTCATTAAACACTAGAAATATGACCTTATTTAACTCCCTCGTTAAACTATATATTGTAGATGATCTTAGGGCCCAAGAGTGTATGTTATCACCAAGGTATACATAGTAGATCAATTAGTTAAACTCATAAATATATTAAACTAATTCTTTTTTTTTAAAAAAAAAGTGGTATTTCATATATTTATGTCTATAGAGTACGTAAAGATGAAAATTTTGTTTTTAATAATTATAGAAGGATTACCAAGTTATTTACCCCGATTAAAGGGGATCACTCGGCAAAACTTGGAAAATATTTGCTATTATAAATGCTAACAATTATGAAAACGCGATGAGATATAAAAATGGGTAGTTTTGCCGGAATTTGATGTACAAGTTTGGCACTTTTGAAGAAATGGTTCATATTCTTGGTTACTTAACCGATTCAAAGTTACTTTCCTCTCAAAGCTTGCGGACACTCGATAAAACATGCAATAATACATCCATACACAAAAGCACATATAAACAACGGCCAAATCCATCGTTGTTTCAGGATATTCCAAGGTAAGAAAAAGAACAGTTTCCGAACTAGAAATAAAACTTAAAAACGATCATTCAACATCGGTTCTATCATTATCTCTATGTGGTTGTGGTCATCATATTGGTCGATGATATTAGATGTTGTTGCTACAAGCTGTTTTTAAATCAACGTGAATCTCAATGAATCGTATAGAGATAGATATACATGCACAAGTTCAGAAGATAAAAATATGATTTAGAGAGTATAGATTAGTGAAGTGATCGATTTTCAGTGACTGTTACGTTTACCTCTCGTTTATATGTCGAGCTTAATTACTGCTTCTCTTGGGTTACTGACTGAAGATGCCCTTGGAGTAACTTAAAGACCATATGAGTCTACCTCTTGTAGTCTTGTATACGTTGCCAAAATGAAGGTGTTCTAAAGCATTAATAAGAGAAACCAAGTTAGATTCCAAGTCATTTTAGATGGAAAAATCAGAAGGAATTGCTCTTCTTAAACTACTCCAGCCTTTCACTATACTGATTATAATACTATCATCAACGAAAGCAGCATCTGAAGTAGCTCTATCTCTTCCTGGATGCCCTGTTAAATGTGGGAATATCACGATCCCGTATCCTTTTGGGACCACAGAAGGATGCTACATGAGCATAGAATATCAGGTAAATTGTGAGACACTAAGTGTTTCCAACACCAAATTCAAACTGTTAAGTATATCACTTGACGATGGCTATATGCGTGGCATGTTGCCGATGGGCTATCGTTGCTACAACAAAACTCATGGAATAACCAGCGTGTCAGAACCCAGAATAAAGTTATCAAGATTCCAAGTCTCGAGTACACTGAACCTCTTAACTGCAGTTGGGTGCGACTCAAGAGTCAACATCAAGACCATAAAGGGCGAAGGTTACTATACTGGATGTCTATCAATGACTGGTTGCGATAAGCTAACCAATGGTTCGTGTTTAGGCTTGGGTTGCAGCCAAGTTCCACTTCCTTATAACCTCACAAGATTTCGTATCCATGCACAAAGCAATACACGAAGGGAGAACGTAGGGAGCTGGAGTTTCAATAACTGCACGTTCGGGTTTATTGTTGAGAAAGGTAATTACACGTTTCATAAAACCGATCTTGATAGTTTGCAGAATCGGTCTTTTCCGGTGGTTCTTGAATGGTCGATTGGGTACACAACTTGTGAAGAAGCTCAAAAGAACATTTCGAGTTATGGTTGCAAAGAGAATAGCGTACGCGTTGATACCTTGACTGAATCCAATCGAAGCTACAATGGGTATCGTTGTCAGTGTGCTCAAGGGTACCAGGGTAACCCATATCTCCCAAACGGTTGTCAAGGTATAGTAAACACTTTAATTACTACCATCAACAGATTTCAATAAATACAAGATTTTCACGATAATCTGTGATCGATTCTTTCAGATATCAATGAGTGCGAAGGACCTCAATTACATGATTGTATATATGGCTGTGGTAACACAAATGGGAACTACAGCTGTTCATGCCCCTTAGGGCAACACGGGGATGGTCGAAAGGGTGGTGATGGTTGCTCTGATAATAATTTACAAGCTGACGGAAATTCAGTCTATTGGGGTGAGTTAGAACAGCTTTTTGGCATAACATCATTATTTATAAGAGCATAAATTCAGTGGAAGAATCGTCTCTCTCTATATATATAACTGCTTTTTGACACAATTCATATGTTCGTATGGGGATTCTATTCATCGACAGGCGTCAGCATGGGCACTGCAGCTTCATTGGTGTTTACATTGATAATATACTGGGGACTCAAACAAAGGAAGATTATGAAGAGCAGGGAGATATTCTTCAAGAAAAACGGGGGGTTGATATTACAGAAAGTGCTATTCGAATCTAAACAATCCTCCCACATGGCAAAGATTTTTTCAGCAAAAGATCTTGAAAAGGCAACCAATAACTTCCACAAAACCAATATCGTAGGTCAAGGAGGCTATGGAACAGTTTATAAAGGTACACTAGCAGATAAAACAATGGTTGCCATCAAGAAAGCCAAGTCAATTGATGAGAGCCAGATCGAGCAGTTTATAAATGAGGTGATTATTCTTTCAGAAATTAGTCATCCAAATGTCGTCAAACTCTTGGGTTGTTGCTTAGAGACACAAACTCCTCTCCTTGTTTATGAGTTTGTAACCAACAAAACTATCTTCCACCACCTTCATGAACAAGACTACTTATCTTCAATGAGTTTTGAAAGACGCCTAAACATCGCCACACATACTGCTGAAGCCCTTGCTCATATACATTCAACTACACAAATCGTTCATAGAGATATTAAATCTTTAAACATACTTTTGACTGACGACTACACTGCCAAAGTGTCTGATTTTGGAATCTCAAGGTTCATTCCAGTTGATGAGACTCACTTACAGACATTGGTGCATGGGACACTTGGATACATAGATCCAGAGTACTTTCGATCAGGAATTTTGACAGAGAAGAGTGATGTTTATAGTTTTGGCATGGTTCTTGTGGAGCTGCTTACAGGTAGAAAGGTATTTTCACATGATAGAACTGAAAGTGACTTGGGTCTGGCAACATATTTCATTTCTTCACTAGAAAGGGGTCACTTGCTTCAGATTCTTGATGATAAAGTGAAGAAAGATGGGCTCAATGAGCATATTAGATGTTTTGCTAGATTAGCCAAAGATTGTGTTGAACTAGAGGGAAGGAAAAGACCTAACATGGTAGAAGTGAAAGAGGAGCTTGAAGAACTTAAACAATCTTTTTTGAAGAGTTCTATCATGTCCAAGAAAATCATTTCCATTGAACTTGACGACCTTCTCTTGTTTTGAATGCTACTTGATGGAAGTAACAATCTTAAATACCTTAATGTGGTCTCCTTTCCTTTTAACAGTTGTTTAGTACAAGTTGAGGGAACCATTTTTCTCTTACTCAAAAACACCATAAAAATACTTGTAAATTTCCATGGAGATACAGCAACAAAATGGGATGGGAATTTAAATTTCTCAAGGATAATCAACAATAGCATTATGTTCATCATCTAATCCTACGGACGGATTTTCCAAGTACTTTATGTTTTATGTTAATTTAATATTGAATTGGTTAAGATATGATCTTATTGGCTTGATATATATATCATATACTATTATACATGCATTTTTGGTCGTTGCATTTGCTTACAAGATGTTCAATCGAGCATGTGAAAGATGGCTATTATGATCTTATTACAACATACAAGTTCACATAAGAACTCACAAGTTATACTCTAATAATGGTCTCCATTTGTTGTTATCCTTTTCACAATGAGCAACCATAATCATCACTTATGTCTATATCTTCGATATCTGAATCATCCAAGTCATCAAAGTCCATACTATCACCAAGAAGCTGTGGTGATCCATCACTAAGCATCCCAGGATGAGTTCTTGCCTCTTGTATTATAGAAAGTATTTCATCAACACTTTGATAGGTGTCACTTGAATTCCCATTGTGAGAGCTTCCTCCAATCATCAAATCTGTTGGCAAGTTCTTCAAGAACCATGGATGCATTTGGATTTCTGGAATTGTTATTCTCTACACAAACATAAATAAAATAAGAACATGTATAGATAAGCAAGGAGAATTGACAAGATTATTTATTCGGTTATGAGTTCTACCTTCTCAGGATTTGCAACAAATATCCTATAAAGAAGATGTTTGCATTCCAATGAAATTTCAACCGTATCCGGGATTGCATATTGGACACTAAGTATCCTCTATCATAAATCAAACAAAGTTTAATCAAACTCCATAAAATGAATGTTTTTTTAACTTTTTAATATTTTAAGATGTTACTCACACAAACAGTTGTTCGGAAGTTTCTTGGGTCATCTGGATCTCCAAATGGATATGCTCCAACTAACATGACATATAAAGTGACCCCACATGACCAAACATCTGCAAGCTACAATTTCCATTCCAAGGATTAACAAAGGAATTACCCCGAGTTTTTAAAAAAGTTACTGACTTTTCTAATCGTTGTTCTTGTAAAAAATATAAAAAGAATACTTTGTGTTGAATAAATGACTAAAAACTCAAAGGAATCACCTTTCCATCATATTCTTTTCTTGAAAGAACTTCGGGTGCAATGTAAGCAGGTGTCCCAACTGCTGACTTTGGTTGAGAATGAAGAACCGATGACTGAATTGCACAAACCACAAGAATTTGGTATGCAACTTTTTAAAGATAAATGAGAGGGACCCACAAAATAAAATTTTAACAAATTTATACCTTTGAGTACCCAAAATCACATATTTTAACACGAGGAGCTGCACTTCCATCTAACAGTGTGTTTTCAAGCTTAAGATCTCTGTGACAAACTTCCTGCAAAATGCATCAATTTTTCAAGAAGTGATAATATTGTGTATAGAAAGAAAAGCCTTAAATGGAGTTCATATATATACCATTGAATGACAATAGCTAACTCCTGATATAAGTTGTTGAAAGAAAAATCTTGCCTGGTAAGTAAGAGAATAAAAACGTATTTTTTTTAGTAAAAAGGGTAACAATATTTGAAGTAATTCATGAATTCGATGCTTTGTAAAGAAACTTGCCTCATTTTCACTGAATTTACCCGCATTGCATATTCTCTCAAAAAGCTCTCCTCCAGCTGCATACTCCATGACTATCGCTAGATGAGTTTGTGTTAGCAAGACCTGAAAAATATAAAATATTGCAATGTACTTTCATATAAATTTATATTGAATAGAAATTCTTACGAAATCTTTGTTATTTTGAATTTGAAAATTGCTTTGTTTGAACAATGAATCTTTTATCGGAAGTTAATTTTTGGTACTAATGGAACGATAGCAATAAAATTACTAAATGCAATTAGCAAAATTCAATAACTGATTGCATCAAGGAAAATAACTAAATAAAGTCAAGATCTATAACAGAAACGTTTTGGAGATGAACAATTTACAAAATCCATGTGAACTTTTGAACATTTAAAGTCAAAGTTTGACTTTTTAGGATAAGGTAGTAAAGCAATGCAGTTAAGTAAACTTCAGTGAAGCAGAGTGGCACAAACATTGAAAAAACAATTCCGACACAAAACAACGCAGTTAAAAAGTAACCTCTTTAAATCTGATAATATTTGGATGCCTCAAAGATCTGTGATTCATAATTTCCCTCTGTACATGTTCATCAATCTGCAAATTTTCAAAAATCTTGATCAAACCCAGAAAGCGTTTCGCATCGAATCAAGACATCAACTGCATAATAACATCAAAAGATTCAAAAAGATCAATACTTTACGAAGATAAAAAGAGAACCTTTTGGCCCCTTTCGATAAACTTGACAGCAAACAGCTCTCTTGTCATCTTGTCCCTAACAAGCTTGGCTACCCCAAAATTACCCGACCCGATTTCTTTAACAAGTTCATATCTTTCCATTTTCGCCCCAAATCAATCAAGAAACTGAAATCATTCAAATTCACAAACCCTTGAATGATAAGTGAGATATGAACAGGCAATAATGGAAATTACTACTGGTTTGGTAGGTGAAGTGTGTTATGGGTCAAGAAGAAGAGAGAAGACTTGACTGATCACTTGCTATATATAGAATTCTTGATGGGTATAACGGAGCATCTCTTTCATATTATACTACCCATACCTTGCTGATGAAAAAACTACCCTATATGTGTCTTAACCAGGTGAGCTTTGAGTTTTGAGTTGTTGTAATCCACTACACCCAAAATTGATATTTTCCATGATCCAACTTATTTTTATTTAGGTTAATATTCTAAGAAAAGTATTTATAAAATTTTTCTGTTTAAACTTAAAAAGTAAAATTTATTTTACAAAGAAAAACCTTTTATATTTTTTCAAAATTTATGTTCTGGCTTTTTAGCATGGTTGCAGAAATCGAGATTAATCGGCGATTAATCGTAGATTAATCGGCGATTAATCGTTTGGCGTTCTCTAACCGTCGAGGATTAAGGTATTAATCGGAAATTTATGATTAATCGGGTTTGGCGGGATTAATTGGTCTTGGCGGGATTAATCGATCAACAAAAGTCAAAAAAAATTCAAAATTCAAAAAATCAACTTTTTTTTTACTCTAAAATTTTAAAATTTTCAAATATTATACCAAAATGTTCATATTTTCGTATTTTAAAATTTTCAAATTACAAATATTCATATTTGCAAATTTTGAAGTACTTGTTTTTCTCAAAATATATTAATATGTGATTAATTTTAATATTGTATTAATAATCTATGTTCTCCGATTAATCCCCGACAATACCGATTAATCCCTTAACACCAGTCGATCGTCGAGCTACCGTCGAACGATTTTTACAACCTTGCTTTTTAGCATATCACAATAATCTTCTACTAATAATTTTTTTCGATAAGAACCTAAGGTTGTGTTTGGTTGTAGAAGAGTGGCGGATCCAGATCAAAGTAAAGGGGTATCTCCAACAAATAAGGTGTATCTGCGGTAAAAAAAATCGCGTAATACTTAATAAGAAAAAAAAATCCAGAAAAAATTACACTACTGAAATTGCTTTGAGGGGTATCCTGGGCTACTCCAGGATATATACTAGATCCGCCAATGTTGTAGAAAATTGTTTTTATTTTTCAAGAAAATGTTTTCAGAAAATAGAGTTGAGTTTTCATTTTCAATTTTCAATGAAAATTTTAAAAAACAAGTTTGGTTGGACCGGTGGAGTTTTCATTTTCAATCTAAGAAATTTAGAAAAACTGTAAAAATCACTTTTTTAATTTACATACAATTTGGAAAAATGAAAAAAAAATATTTTCTTAGAAAACTTTGGAAAACTAAACGAACCAAACGCGTTTTCAAAATTTTTGTTTTTCTTGAAAAAATTTCCTGAAAAACCGGAAAATTTTCTACAACCTAACGAACCCTAAGTTTTTCAGAAAAATCCTCATATTTTACAAACTTGTTTTGTTTTAACCATTTTTTTCATTTTAGCTCATATTTCTACTATTCTTGTTGGCATTGTTGCCGGTTATGTACATGATAGATAAGATGGATGTTTTATTGTATGTATGTTTGTTAATTTAGAGCATCTCCAACCCACTCCCATTTTCCATTATTTCCTTCATTTTTTCCTCATTCCTCTCCAACTCTACCCCATTTATTCCCCCATTTTGGGAGAAATGAATAGTATAACACCATATTTGGTGTTGTCGTTTTTAGTCCCTCTTTTTATATATTTATACATTTCTAGTTTATTTTTATCTACTAATTATAATTTAAATGTAATATTTAATACTTAGACTATTGTGTTATATATTAAATTATATTAATTAATCATAAATATAAAGTTTGTTTTTTCTTTATCAAATTCATATAAAAATTTAAATACATATTGAAATTTTAAAACACGATAACATATTTTACAAAAGCATATAATTAAGTGTTATAAGTATAATCTTATTTATTTAATATTATTGTAATGAAAAAAATATAGACTATATATTTGTTAAAACCAAATTAGTAGAAGGGGAGTGTTTGATAATTTATATAAGTTTGAAGAATGGAATATACTAGGAATATACTTTTTGGGGGTAAAAAATGGAGTAGGGTTGGAGATGTAATAACCCGTCATTTTCAAATCAATAAGAGTCTAAACCATATTTCAATCCTTGTTGTATTTTATTCTCTGTTGCCTTAAGGGCATGCTTATAAGCTAATAACTAATTATAGTTTGAAACCTAAGATTGATTATTGTTAGTATAAATTAACATAAGATAAAAGATTAAGGCTTAAAGTATAAAGAATTACACAAAATAAGGTTTTCGGCCAAGAATTCAAGAAGAAAAGGAATTTACAGTCCAAAGAATCTAGAACATGGAGATTTCGGCCAAGGGATTTGAAATCAACGGTGGTTTTCGATTCTAATCTCATGAAACATTGAGTTTTCGGTCACCATGACCGAAATCAACAAGGGAAAAGCCCATTAGGGCCAAAAACATTCATGAAATGGACCGAAATCATGAACTTAAGGCCCATTATGAACTGTAAACACTTTTCTATATATATTTATTCAACAGCAAACACTCCTCATTTCCCACTTTTCACACCGTAAACACTTCCATTTATGCTCTCAAAACTCATCCGTAAACAGCATATATTCATAAGAATCTTGCCCAGATCTTCTTATTTTCACCAAGAACACCAAGAACATTCATTCATATCTTCAAATCTTCAAGCATCCAACCGAAAACACCTAAGAACACACCGAAAACCCCATTTGTCCACCGAAAACTCATTTCAAAACTTCAAATAATTCCAAATAATTTTGTAAGTATTCCATACATAATTAAAGTGTTGTCTAACACTTTAATTATTATTTAAATCATTATTTAACCTATTATTTAAATTAATATCTTATTAATTTAAATACGACGTCGGATACAATTATTTTTAGGATAACGTTATTCGCACTTATGCTTACCCGAGGATCGTTTCTACAACTTGCTAATTCAAACACAAACATACATTCGAGGTGAGTTCATACCCTTACGTTTTCACTATCTTTCCATGTTTTTAGGGGGGGGGATACAAGTAAAACACAAGGACTTTTTGTGTTAATATTCAAACGATTCCAAAACGTTCAAACCTTTGCAATTGTTTCAAACCGATTTATCACTGCAATTATTAAAATATATTTGTATATATATTTTAACCCTTTTGTAACATGTCGAGCAAAAGGGAACTTTGTTCAAACCTTTTATTTTTGCTATATGTACATAGATAAATTACAAAGGTTTTCAATTCATTTAAGAACATACATTCAAACTATAATAGGTATAGTTTGAGAAACACTACACTATTTTACAAACTCAAGGAACACTACACAGGAACAAGAACATACATTTAAACTATAATAGGTATAGTTTATGGAACACTACTCTATCTCACTAATTCAAGGATACACTACTAAATGATTATTTAAGTATAATTATTTTACATTACAAAGTACACTACTATAAGTAATTCATACAATTTCAAGTACAAGTGAACACCACTACAGTACATGTAAACTAGTAAATACAGGGTTGTGAGGCACTACTTCGGGGTACCCATCAGGTTACCGGATTTAAATCCTTTACAGTATAACCAGAGTCTCATGGAGGGAGAGCGTGAGTTTGTGTATAGATCTATATGGGATTGACAACCTCGCACCTAAATTGTTAGCTACAGTTAGGCCGGCAGGCCTGGGGTGACAACCGTCATAACATTCCGACGCCTGAAGAACGTCGTAGAGGTCACTAGGTCATATCAAGCATGGTTATATGAAACTCACAATAGTATTAACTAAAATATTTGTTTACAGGATTAACACTACTTCAATGGTTTTATTTTAATTAATGAGACTACAGTACACTATTGTACATTACATCTGGTGGTATCCAGGCATTCATACAAAGGTTTTTATACAGTACACTACTATACATTACTGCTGGTAGTATCCAGGTTTTCATACAAAGGTTTCATAACAAACATTACAATAATACACTACTTTCCTAGTATCGAGTACACTAGTACTACATACAGTTTAGGGAAAACATACATGATATGGTTTTATTCATTTATAAGACTACTTTTCATTACTAAAGAAAATATTGGATTTTCCGGAGGAACATGTTAACATATTTCCAGGAACATTAATAAGTTTTTCCACTGCAAAAACATACTTATGAACTCACCAACTTAAATGTTGATACACTTTCAAAACCACTTGTATTCTCAGGGAACCGGTAGACAGGTACACCCACAGGTTTTGAGAAGACGGAGCACATAGAGTCGCGTCTTTTATACTTTTGCTATACATTTTTGATGTCATACAAATTATGTATTGAACAGATGTAAATACAATATTATATCAATGTAATGGTTGTGTTTTCTTTGATTACTATTATGCAATGGTTGTGATACTGTATATGACGTCCTCCGCCTCCGAACGTTTCCGTCGTTCCGGTTTGGGGGTGTGACAGGAGATGAAACACTATTTGCCCCATTTTTTAGTCCATTTATGGAGGAAAAAATGGAAGTGGGTTGGAGATGATCTTAGAAAGTGAATGTTTTGCATCTGTTAACTTAAAAAGAATTGTTCACAAATGGAAGTGGGTTGGAGATGATCTTAGAAAGTGAATGTTTTGCATATGTTAACTTAAAAGGAATTGTTCACAAATTGTTCAACAATGGTTCCATATCTACTAATTTAGCATACGAACAACGTTTGTTACTTTGGAGACCAGAGGTTCCATGTTGGCCAACTGCAAGTTTTGTGTTTGCTGATTTGAAGATCGAAGGTTTTACGTATGTTCATTAAAAAAATAAATAATAATATAAAGACTAAGAAATTTGTTGACTCTCCTATTATTGATATAACTATTGCTGGAAAAATATTAAGTTTCAAAGAAAATTAATGAGATTATTATGAGAGTTGTTTTTCTATTTGATTTTGATATACATTTTACCAATAAGAATTTGACATAATAATAATTCTTTTTGTTTCTAAAACAATATATGTTTCCTATAAATTTTAATATTGAAACCTTCCAAATACATTGTACCATGAAGACGAGATACAAAGAATAAGAATTATAAGCCAAAAAAAATTCAAATATAAATGTTTTTTGAAAAAATGTTGGACATTTTTCGGAAAAAAAAAAGTTGTCAATTACCGGTCTACCTTTGAAAGGCTTAAGATGAAGAAATTGCAAAAATGTGAG